CTGTACGAGTATTTGAAGTTCGTAGATATCTTTTAGTTAAAATATCATAACCAAAACGTTTTACTTTCAGCTAATATAGAAAGACTAGACTAGAGAGTGTGACGTAACTAGGGTTATGGGGCGGAAGATTTTATTGTCTTTCATTAAAACGTTTTCCGTGGCTCAGAATATTTCCCCGTTGATTCAAAATTTTGAGGGACTTTGGAACAGCTGCCCCACCTATCGGTTTCGCTAAGTATTGAAACATTCCAGTTTATTCCCCATAATCTTTTTCTTCTGTTTCCAAGTTCGCCCAAAGCTACTCGAGGACTATCTTAACTAGTCGTCTCTAATTTTAAGGTGATAGACTAGAGCGAATGATACATTTTGGGCTACTCTTTACCAACGAATAGAGAGTTTTATCATCGCATTATAACGCCCTCATGGCGAACAGGGTGAGTATGTTCGGTGACGGGATTCGAACCCCCAATCGGTAGAAATGCGAGTCGAGTGCCCTCACTACCAATCCATGCCACGCCTAGTTCTTCTGATGAAATCAAAAATACGATGTTAATGTTACGTATTTGTAAGGCTAACCGATAGATGGTGCTATTTTTCTTTTATGCAAGGCTGATAATACTTTCTGTAATGGTTGCAATTACATCCATACATGGTAGTACAAACTCTATGATCCGTATATAAATAATATGATCCGTATATAAGCTCAATGATCCGTATATAAGCTCAATGATCCGTATATAAATTCATTGATCCGTATATAAGCTCAGTGATCCGTATATAAATTCTTTGATCCGTATATAAGCTCAATGATCCGTATATAAATTCTTTGATCCGTATATAAGCTCAATGATCCGTATATAAATTCTATGATCTGTATATAAACTCTATCACCCGTACATAAGTTCTACGATCCGTATATAAACTCAGTGATTCGTATATAAATTCTATGATCCGTACATAAATAATATAGCCCGTGAATAAATTCTACAACCCGTATATAAATTATATGACCCGTATATAGACAGATTTACATTAAACCACATGGCGAGCATATTCGGTGACGAGGATTCGAACCCTCAGCCGTCAGATTCCGAGTCCTTAACCACCAGGCCATGCCAGCCCTAAAATATGTGAAGTAGCTCTGGTAACCATCTTACATATACATTAGGCAAGGTGGTTACACGTAACGGTCAATCCCACTTTTCGATTAGAGTAGCCCAAGAGTTGGCGGTTGGTGCTGTCTTCTTTCTCTCATATAGCGCTTGAGTAGCCTTGCACGAAACGCTAAAAACAAGAGAGAAAGAGAGACAGATCCCCTAACAAGATTTGAGAGGAGAAACCATTCATATGGAAAGGAATAACGAAAATGATCTAAATGACAGTTTATGTGTCTCGTTTCATGTTGATGAACAAGTTTTACGTGTTCTACAGAAAATAGCTTTGTTGATGAACAACTAACTTGCTTTGGGAACTTAGATGAAAAATAACGTTTTCACTGCTCTTTTGCGAACGTGATGAACATTCAGGTCTTAATAAATATTCGCAAAAGATTGTCGAAACCTTGACCTTCATCCCAGTTTTCAAGAGCCTGGTTATTTTTACCATTAATATTCGACTGTACCTCACCCGATAAGTTTACCCTTAACGAAATGTGTTTTTTTTTAAACGTGACTCGGTTTAAAAGTGAAAAATAAAATTGAAAAGAAAACAAACAAATTAAAAGGACAAAAATGTTTATCTGTAATTAGCCTTTATTTTGCAAATAAACCTATAAACCATGTTAATATCGGCACGATTCAAATGCTCTCTCTCTCTCTTAAATAAAACACAAATTACTTTCCTGACACGTGTTTTAAATGGTCCTCTAAATATGTATGTATGCGTGTGAAATCGACGCAGCTTCCGGTACAGAAACGTTCTTTCGTGGCGGGAAAGTTTCTGTTTGCAAATTTTCTTGTAATTTAACTAAAAAAATAATAATCGAATGGCTTCCCAATAAAGCACAATCGTGGTTATTCGGACGTAGCAGGAGCCATTCTTTTCTTTAATTAGTAGCTATTCGTAGGGTGTAATTATTGGACTTTACAGTCTAAATATGGGGCGTGTCACGCGGCTACGATGTATTATTAGGGACCCCTCTAGTCCGACTCCCATTCGTTGCATGCATATCGTAATAAGATGTATATAATAACTGCCCTATTCTATAGTTTAAAATCGACACCAAAGCTGCGAAATTACCTTATGAATTATTTGCTATTACAAATCACGCTAATATGTTAATAAACGGACGAAGCTTCTAAACGTTAAAGCTGACTACTATGATATCTAATATCATCTATACTAACAATATCCTTCTCATAGTATAGGCCCGGCATGGCCAGGTGGCGCTCGACTCGCAATCCCCGTCACACCAAACATGCTCGCCCTTTCAGCCGTGGGGGCGTTATTATGTGACGGTCAATCCCACTATTCGTTCGTAAAAGAGTGGTCCAAGAGTTGGCGGTGGGTGGTGATGACTAGCTGCCTTCCCTCTATTTTTACACTGCTAAATTAGGGACGGCTAGCGCAGATGGCCCTCGTGCAGCTTTGCGCGAAATAAAAACAACAACTCAAAAGTATATTTCGTTAGTTTGCACAGGCCACATTACCTACAAGTACCTATACATTATACGATATTGCCATATTGCAAAACGTACACGTGTTGTGGCACAGGTTAAAGAACAATGCATTTATTTTACTCGAGAGCAATTATTTCAATATGACCCACTTAAAACACAAATACTACGTGAGAAAGGAATGGGTAAGTTCCAAATGATCTCGTGGTCGCTGAACCCCCCGTCACCGAACGTGCTCGACCTTTCAGCCGTGAAAACGTTATAACGCGACGGTCAATCCCACTATTTGATGGTAGAAGAGTAGCCCAAGAGTTGGCGGTGGGTGGTGTTGACTAGTTGCATTTCCTATCGTCTATCATTGCTAAACTAGGGACAGCTAGCGTAGGTATCCCTTGAGTAGTTTTGCGCGAAATTCAAGAGAAACCAAACCAATGATTTACCACAATTGGTGGAATACTGTCAAAAACACCGCGTCAAAATAACTGTTCTAAAAATCAACTAGCAGTTTTTACAATATCCCCCTGAGCTGTACATGGACGGTACACTCCTCCAAACGACAACATCAGCTAAGTTCCTTGGTGTGACCTACGATCAGAAGCTAACGTGGGCTAAACATATAAATAACATAATAGGAAAAGTCTGGCAAAGTACGAACTATGTAAGGTGTCTAACAGGTAAAAACCACGGAACATTTGTCAACGATATACAAAACATACATCCGCTCAGTTATCAAATACGCATGCACAGCTTGGATAAATGCAAACCAGGTACACGTGAGAAAATTACAAACAATACAGTACTTACAGCAGTCTGTCGAGTATCAAGATTCACATCGTCAGCCTTCCCAAATAAATATACAAACATACAAACACTGCCTGATAGACTCGTACACAGTTCTCTAAAAATAGGCATAAAAATGACCTATTTTGTGAATTGAACCGTTTTTGCATACATGATGAAAGTAGCCCTAAGCGCCTCTCACCCAATTAATTCCTATATTAGAAATAAAATATAAATTTAGGCCACTTTTAGCTAAGACTACAACATCCTTAGTTTATTTAACTCAGTGGAAATAGTATTTTTCTGTTTGTTTGTAATTGAGTACAAAGCTACGCAAAGGGGCTAGCTGTGCTCTGCCCACCACGGGTCTCGAAACCCGGATTCTAGCGTTGTAAGTCCGCAGACATACCACTGTGCCACTAGGGGGCATTATATTTATGTACAACGTTCTACAGTAATTAAACTAATGGAATAATGTGTGAAACCGATCTGGAACTGTTCGTGATGTGTGAAGTTTACACAATAACGAACAAAGAGAAAATGTGTTCCTCGTATCGAATATTTTCTTGATTACCATATATGGACATGGTCTTGAAAGGGATCAGAGTACATGTAATGGAATAACCTTTGACTCTCATGATATAATTAAAAGAATATTCAGCCGTAAACAAACGAATGCATGGGGAAGGAAGAGCTCCATGCGAACCTGACTGTCCCAGGTCTGCAAAGATCTAAATCCCGATGCCGACAAGAGGGGTATTTTATATAGCTGATAAGGATCTTGAAATATTAAAAAATCAGAGTTAGTCAGCAGCTTTGGAATGTGTTTAAAAACCAAATCATTTATTTTTATATCAAAAATTTGTTTGTCTGTTTTAGAATTTCATATTAATTCTCATCAGGGTTTTGGAATCGTATCACCCGTACTGGTACCGACTGCAAACCCTGGTTCTCACGGAAAGCGTTGTTCTTGTTCAAGTAATTCGATGTCGTATCCCAGCCGGCCTGATGTACCCTAGTATTGAGCGGAAGGTCTCGTCGGTACTGAATAAAGCATACCGCTCTGGATTATTTAATTATTAAAACGTAAGCGATAAATGTGCACATTTGGTGGATAATACCCTGGTAGATACCATAAGATATCTAACAAAAACGGTTTATACCTTTACAACTCTTAACGCGCCATGCAGCTGTATAAAAGTCACAAAACTAAGTTATGATCAACCGAAGATGACGCGTCTCTAACACCGTTCTTCTCAGACTTTTCTTAATCAGTACAAAAAAAAAGAAAAAAAGATGTAAAATTAGATGGTGATTTGGAGAAAGAGAAATAATGGGATGAAATAGTAGAGGCCAAAGAGGGATAGAGAGAATGACAAAAATAAAGTTCAAAAGTTGAAGAGGGCGATAAATAAGAAAAAAAATAGCGATATAATTTGAAAGGTTTATTGGGGACGTTGAACACCTACTTATGAGCATTCCCCCCCCACTTGTAAATATAAATATGACCCTTAAAGCAACTTCAGAATTGATTATTTGATAATTCTGCTCTTCTTGTTCGTGGACACACACATGTATATTAATTAATATCACGTGAAGTCTTACTTTGATTATGGCGGCTGGTCAGATAATCCTCCTTGCAAATGAAACACTTCTCGTCCAGGATGTACAGCTGCTCCCCCGTTGAGAGCTGTTTTCGACAGACTGTACAAATGAAACATTTCAGATGAAAGACCTTGTTGCGAGCTCTTCGGACAAGATCTGTGGGGGATATCCCCTGACTACAACCAGCGCACTTGGTTCCGAACCGCCTGAAAAGAGAAAACAATTAACCCTCACTCATAAGTAAGTGAAATATGGATATAAGTTATATATATATTTATTTAATTACAAAAAAACAAACAAACAGGAAATATGATGGAGTACTAAACATATGTATATATTGTAAGTTGATTTGTTTGTTGTTAAGCGCAAAGCTACATAATTGGCTGTCTGTGGCGTACCAACCACGAGCCCTCACACTTACCGCTGAGTCACTGGGACGTACATTGTAAGAAATTAACCCCAATGAATGCAGACATACAATAATTATGCTATCATATATAAAAAGCTTCACATTTGTAAGCAAAAACTTAAGTGTGTCAATCAACCGAATTAAGTAACGATAGAAAATTCTGGAAATTTACAGAATAGCAAGAAAGATTTTTTTTTAAAAAATTTTATCAAATGATATATTTTGAATAAAAATAACGTTAGATTGCAAATGTAAACATCACCCTATATAATACCATTCCATACAGATACTGATACCACTGAGCAGCTCTACCTCTGAAGAATTAGTAACGCCCGAATACCATCCAGCTCCTATATTGAAATTCAACCATGTTTCTCAACTATTATCGGCTCACAGTAACTGCTATTGTTCAACATGAGGTTAGGTGGACAAGCTCTCACCGTTTGGCCCAATGTTCGATTCACGAATAGAAGCAAAGCCTCATCGTCATCTTCTTCGCACCTTCCTTAGAAAGTCTTCATCACAGAACTGATTCGTTAAAAAATCCGGATACTCGCAAGATAAGGATGAAGTATTCGTGGACAAAATCCGCTTAAAGGAAAATCCTGGACTACGAGAGCTTGTAGGGTTGGGTATGTGGGATGTTTTATCTTTACTAGTTTCGATAACGGAAGACTTGCGTACGTCAACCACGAGGTCAAAAGAAGAACACTACAACTGTTTTTATCTTTAGGAAGATGCTGATTAACATCAAGAAAAGACAGTTGGAGTTTCTCAGACACGTTATGAGGAAAGAAGAAATTGAAAGTCTGATCGTAACTGGAAAGACTCAAGGAAGAAGAAACCGTGGAAAACGGAGGATGACTTATGTCAAGAGTCTATCTAAATAACTTAATGTATCCACATTGGAAATCCTTTATGCCTCAACGAGAAGAGGTCTGTGAAGGACCATGGTCACCAACGTCCTGTTTGGAAATTGTACACACACAGAGAGAAAATGTGCATCAGAAAAGTAATGTATGTATCACCTCCTAGGAAGAAATGTAGACACGTTTATTAATACCAGTGTCATCTTGATCCCTTCCGCCATAAAAGAGATCGGATAATCTTTGTTAATCGTCTCTTTATCCTACATTTTTTAGAAGTTGTCTAATCCAATACAAAGGTGAATTTAAAATAACTTTATAAAAATAGGTACAACTGTCATCACTCTGAAAATATGCTGTTCCTGTAAAACGTTCTTTTGTGAATTAAATCGAAATTTGTAGAGTTAATGCAAGGTTTCAGTCAGGGTTATGTGTCAATGTTTCAGTCAGGGTTATGTGTGAAGGTTTCAGTCAGGGTTATGTGTCAATGTTTCAGTGAGAGTTATGTATCAAGGTTTCAGTCAGGGTTATGTGTCAAGGTTTCATTCAGGGTTGTGTGTCAAGGTTTCAGTTAGGGTTGTGTGTGAAGGTTTCAGTCAGGGTTATGTATCAAGGTTTTAGTCAAGGTTATGTGTCAAGGTTCACAATGGTCCACTTCAGATGATAATCAGATAAATGTTGTTAGTTACTACAGGTTAACTGTAGCTGAGTTGCAGCGCCTTTTGGTGACAAGTTGGAATGAAATCAGGGGGACTACATCAATAACCTCATCGACAGCATGCCACGTCGCCTTCCGGAGGTTATTAGAGTACGGGGAGAATCAACCAAGTAATAAATGTTTAATTCTTAGGCTTACACGTAGATGCAAGCTCAGGTTGAGTAGCAAACAAAGGTGAAATTTTAGTTACCAAATTATCAAGATGCCAAAAGTAATTAATCGTTGGTTACTAAACCATTAAACGATTTTCAATTAATATCTTACGCAGTTATATTTTCAAAACGAGACCCAAAACCCGAGCTCTTTCAAATAATTAACTATTCTTCTCGTTTTGAAAATATTACAACTTTTGTAGGTGGTCATGTGTGATAACTACTTAACCTGGATTTACGTAATTGTAAATGCTTGTTTCACAAATTTTGTTATAAAATCGGACAAAATAACTGTTTACAATTAAGAACATATTTCTTTTGTTGTTGTTAAGAAAACAAATACATTCTTGGCCAGAATGTTTGCATAATGTTCTATATTGATGTTATTGTCCACATGCATGGAGTAGTTATTGAGTAAATGTACGAGTACTAACAGACAAGGTAGCGTATGATCAGACAAACATGTACGAGTTGTTATTCTGGTTTGTATAAGTTGTTTTGAGTATTTATTCGTCAAAACATACATACACACTCGTTTTGTATAATAGGGCATGTTTTTGGTAAAATCTTTATTATTATTAATTCTTCATTTAATTATTTATTTTCCTACTTCTTCGCCCATATGGGGGGGGGGGAGCATGGCCAGGTGGTTAAGGCACTCGACTCGCAATCTGAGGGTCGCGGGTTCGAATCCCCGTCACATTAAACATGCTCGCCCTTTCAGCCGTGGGGGCGTTATAATGTGACGATCAATCCCCCTATTCGTTGGTAAAAGAGTAGCCCAAGAGTTGGCGGTGGGTGGTGATGACAAGCTGCCTTCCCTCTAGTCTTACACTGCTAAATTAGGGACGGCTAGCGCAGATAGCCCTCGTGTAGCTTTGCGCGAAATTCAAAAACAAACAAACAATCGCCCATATGGCTCATTAAATCGCTGACCACTCATTGAACTTTAACCTTTTGCCTCGAGCAGGGTGAAGGAGGATTGCTAATCTTCGAGCACCCTTGATTATTAATTATTTGAGGGGAAATAATTAAGTTTAAAATCAAAATAACTGCCAGAAATATGCGATGCGATCTGCGGCAATCTTTTTCGAAACAGATCAACGCTTTGTTCAGAATTTTTCTGTACTTGGTGTAGAGTCCAGTCTCGTCACCTGCCAGAAATTATAGGGCTTTAGACTGTTCGACTGTCCATCCAGAAATGGTATGAAGCAAACGGACATTGCCAGAGCAGTAGGATACTCCCAATGTACTGTATCCACAATCCTGACACGTCGCCTAGCGGAGGTTATTAAAGTCAAAGGAGTACCAACCAAGTACTGAAGGTTTAATATAATCTGATATAAAATCACAGACGCTATTTATAATAATTTAATGTTATATTTTGTCATTATATATGTTTTGGTAGGGTTTTGTTGTATGTAATAGGTGAAATGTTGAATTACACATTTTTCTACAGGTTTCTGATAAAATTGTTTGGTCTACTAATAAATCGTTCATGATGTCTATAGAACTTGTCTCATGATACAAATTACATACGTAGATGTTTAATATAACATGCATTTCTCAGTTTTACAGTGCTAAGTGTCTTC